ACGCTCACATTTAAGGAAGTAATTTCGTTCCAACCTGAAAGGATAGAAAAATTGACCGATATACTGACGGACTCGCCACTCAGTGACGACAAGTTACTAAACAGACGACCCGTAGTTTTATATATCAAAGAACACAAGACGACTGTCTAGACGAAAAGAATTAATTATACTAGAATATTGGCCAACACTAAGGTTCAAGATAAAGACAGGAGTGGATGACGGGAAACTTTAACTCTACGAGAAATGTGAGGTGTGTCGTAGTCACGTTATATTCGTCTGTAGTATGTGATTCGGGTATACACGTAAAAACCACATACGACTCTTTTACCACGAAAAATGACCTAATTTTTTTGGTGAGACGGGTGTTCGTCGATGAAACCTCATATAAGGTGAATCTGCTGGTGGAGTATTGGTGTTACTGGTATTCCACCCAACAAATGATCCGGAAAAGTATTAAACTGATAATTGTCGTGTAAGAGAAAGTGGAAATTATTTCGTGGTAGTTTTATGAACGAGGGCGCACGTCACCTGAGAACTGCGCCAATTATTCTACAAATGGAGTTCGGACTTACGGGACGCTCGTTGGCCGGAGGCGTTGGCCGAGTGTAAGGTTTGGGTCTTATTTAATGTTCGTGTCCCACCTAATTAATACCAAAGAGTTGGTTATACCGACGGTGAGGTTGCGTTGTTCGCATTAATTGGTCTTACTTGTTCCTACCCATCCCTTGTCAATTATCCCCAAGGTTCGAGTTGGTTTTGAACGTGCCTTATACTGGGTTTCGTCACCTATGCGAGGGTCTTTTTACACTATTTTTTTGTACGTCCTGGTCCTACAGTACTGTGTTTGGTCCACGTGTCTCGCCGCTCGAATATCTCACCTCTTTCGAAGACTATTGGCATTCACCCGAAGAAACAAAGTCCACGGACCGACGACGTGGACTGTTGTGTGTGTCGTACATCACTTTAGGTAGACGGATACTTGGATGTTGAGTAGAATAGAGTCCTCGAGGCCCGACTTCGTAGGATAGCGTCCTGAGCCATAGTCTAGCTGACATTTGTTAGGCTGGAACTGTTGTGTCCCCATACTATATGCTAACTGGGACCCTATTCCCTTCTTCGCTCTGCTCCCGAATTAACTCATCTTACAGGGACTGTGCCTCCAATTTTATCCTCAAAACGACCTTATTCAAAGTCTCTCTTATGTATGTAAAGTCTGAGGTTACAGAGGGAGATTTGTAATAATGTATATTGTTAGTAACCGTAATAAATAAATTATGATGCATATGTGATATAATATGATGTATGATCTATGATTTGACATTAAAACCGTAAAGGAATTACGGTGCAGAAATGAGGGTCTAGACAATAATAATGAGTGTTTCAACGTACTATATAACTAGTCAGAGGCTGGTGGAAATTATTTTAGGTAGGGCTATTGTAATGGTGAATAAACCACACGAGGAACATTTTGAGAAATGGCCCCTTAAATGATGACTTCTGGTGATGTTAGAGGTATGAGAAGACTGATCAATACCTCCATAATCTTCAGTGTGGTTAGCTATGAATCTTCCAAAACTTCCAAATACCTTGTCCTGGACATAGTTTCTACAGTAAACTGTGCAACAGTACAATAGGCCCACACAAACTGCAGAACACCGGTTCTTTGGGAACACTCAAATGATTTAATTCCCATTTAAAATCAGGAGACTAAATACGAACATTATATGCAGACACAGACGTGGTTCAGAAACACAGAAATATTAGAAAACAGACCATTAAGGCAAAAAATCTAGTTTGATGGATGCTGTCAAAACTCATATACAATAAAATAGTGTGTGTGTGTTTATTTAGCACGGGCATATAGTATCTGTCCCCGGCTGTTTGAAGAGCAAGCATGGGAAACAAAAGACAGTGTTTACCTCTTTGCATCCAGCTAGTCACACACACAGTTACAATCACACTCCCTGTAATTGACATAATTAATAGATAGTTTATCTTCTCACCATCATTTGCTGTGGCCCACTGATGTTAACGATCGTAACTGAAAGGCTGCCTTTCAAACGTAAACATTCAGCCACGTGACTCGCAAACTCTCACGAGAGTTTTACACAAGACGGATCCTTTCTAGCCATAACCCTGCACCGGGCGCTTACATTGGCGCCCGGTGATCATCAGATTTGACGACGCTGATTGGCTGAAATTATGTTTCGGAGCCATAGCTTACAGAAAGCAACAGTCAGCTGCTAGTGGCTGCTGCTGCACTGGTTGAGGGCTCCTCTCTTAGCGCCCAGACGAGAGAGGGTAATGATACACGGGCAAGGCCAGGCAGGAAACATGTGACTTATCAGTAACTTTCGACATCGTAACACAATTTTAAACGAGATTTTATTGTAGATTATACATTTTACTGATACCAACTATATAATATTTACCTTGTTCATTAAAAATAAAAAATATATATATTTTTTAAAATATGTTTTAATTTTTAATTGTTAATGTGGGAAAAGGTGGGGCGGCGCCCCTAGCGCCCCTATGGGCCGGCCGCCACTGCTTGGTTGGTTATTGGCTAATGGTTACACAAGCCAAAAGAATCATTATGACTTCATAAAGTGGCCAAAATCTGATCAGCTCATTTTCAGACAGGTTTTTATATAAATGGATCACGACAAAAAGAGAGCAAATCTTTTTTCCTGAAACTTTCAGAATCTCTTTACACAGAAGGGACACATGTTTATGTATAAAAGACATGAAAAAGTGGATTTTGCATAATAGGTGACCTTTAAATCATGCCCATAACTTTGTTTAGAAATACTTTGAAATGAAAGTAAACTGTGAGACTGCACGAACAGCAACAAAATGAATGCATCTTTATATGGCTTGACCTTGTGTTGAAATGGATCAAGGCTATCTAGATCCATTAGCTATATGATGGTGGTAAGCCATACTAAAGGGGAGATCCATTAGAATGATGACAAATCAAACACAGTGAGTCATTGTGTAGCATGACAACATCAAGCTTCTTGGAAACTCAGTCAATCAAGCTGATGTCATTCTGCTTCGACCGCACTGATCTAAGGACCAAAGTGATGCTCTGACCTTCAAATGTTGACCATTGTGATATCAAAGTATCGCTGTGACTAACAGTAAAACACACCATGCATACACACCAACACTCCAACTCTCTGGACACAAAGCAAAGCTACATTCTGTATATGGATGTATGTGTTGATCAGTGGTTTGATAAAATACTCAAATGACTACAAACAGAAAGCTTATACCACAACCTGTGCAGGTGTGTCAAGTGACATAACAGTGAAGAAGATGCATGACTCACATGCATCTGGGGGGTTCCTATCAATGTACTGGCTGAAGTCGAGGACAAACTGGGTGTTGTTGAGTGACAACTTCAGCTCTTTGCAGTATCCCCTGAAGGAACAGTATTGATCAGTTCCAATATAACTCCCTTGTTCAGTACAGTGACAGTTCAATAGTGTTAGGGTCACTCACCTCGGAGCAAGGTAGGTGTATCCATACTCATCAAAACTCTCCTGCAGTATGGTTTCCAAAGCTTTTGAAAACACAAAGCATTTGGTTTAGGAAAAAAGAGATTATAGATTATCCAAACTAGGTGCTTAAAGGTGTGGTCAGTATTTATAAGACGATGTTAATCAGGAAACACTTCACAAGTAGATGGATCAAACACATACTGTACATACACACATATAATATTAGACATTTTTTATGTGAATGATTAAGGTAGAGAGTATGGATGAGGATGAAAGAGGGGGCATGAGACAATTACTGAGTGAGAAATACTTGCCTTCTTGCCCTGTAGTGACCCCAGAACAAGTGGAGTTGAGGAGGGGAGAAAGTAGGAAAGACAAACGGTGATTAAAATGCATTCATCCTCTGATCGAGCCATACCTTGGAAAATGTGCTGAACATTGTAAATAGTTTACACAGTAGGTAAAACTAAATATATCATGCCATGAAACAATATCACATCTAATTGAAAAACTTGAAATAGATTGAGGAACGCAGAACAGTAAAGGAGCAGGAGGATGGCATGAAAGGGACAGCACATAAATATATACAATATTAATACATAATAGACCTACTACTCTATGCTTTGACTGCCCTTGCTCTGGATTTCATTTAAAATACTATCTGGTAGTTCTTATCTCATAAATAACATGACAGGCATGGACGGCCTTCATTCACTGGTCTCTTAAAATGATGACATTTTTGACATTTCCTTTAAAATATACTGAGTCCTGTGGTGCAGTCTGCAGAAAAAATGACTGAGCGTTGAGTTTCCTCGAGGTCGTGAAAATCTGGTGCAGGATGAAACAACGTCCTTCGCATAAAAGATAACAGGCAGATTCATTGTCCCTCTGTCTCTATAGACTGGGCAGGGTGTCTCTATGTCCAATTGCTTTCCACGCCACACATCTTTCTTTTCTTTTTTTTTCTCTTTATTTCTCTGTTACCATCTCTTCAACGCCAGTATTAGGTCATCTATTGTATGCATGTAGCAGTTCTGCCATATGGACAGAAAAACTGTTCAACACACACTTGACTAGGGACCCTCCGTAATGTAGTAAAAGGACAAGTGGCTGCAGGAACCACCTACTGCAGGAAAGTGCTAAGATGGATCGAGGCATTGGTGGTCTGGCTCCGGTGTGAAACTCTATACGGCTGTACGGAGAACTTTAGAGTCCCGAACTCCCTTATCGGAGTAGTCTGTGGCAGCAAGGCATGGTGTGTTACTTTCTTTAACAGGCCTGTAAACATTCTGACAGTCTTTATAGCATGGTGACAGACTCGTTATTGCAGAGAGGGAGTGATACAGAGGCCGAAACACTCAGTCAAAATCTCATCTGTTGGAATAACTGCACCATTAGCCATTTATGCTTTGTGGTGTCACATCAAAGATATGAAAAAATCCACTAAAGCCAGATGGTTTTGTGCTGATTCCGATGATTTTCTTCCATTTATATCCCTTGATCAAAGTGTTTAGCCATGCCTCTACAAAGTAATGAATAAGCATTCATACCTCAGAGTCCATCCATCTATATGTAATCATGCAAATACTGTTTATAGAAGACACATATGAAGTGGAAATGCATCACATGGAAAGAGAAAGACATGGATGACACAGAATAGCGAGTACTTGCCCCAAGTGGAAGCTGTGAGATTCCAATGTGAAAGGACAGAAGAGAAAAACATGCATTAGAATCAAAATGCCAAGAGCATCACCCAGAGTGTATAGTATGTGTGTATATGAAAGAGTTTTGTCCTTGTGATTATAGCCATGTTCTGAGCTGTTAGGAGAAGCAGCCAAAGTGTTTCATACAGCAAGACAGCCTTGAGAGCAAACGCAGCAAAAAAAAGTAAGCTGAAAAGAAATAAAGCGGTGAAGGGAGAGGGATAAAGGAGAGTAGGAGAACAAAGGGAGGACAACTTTACAGATTAGACAGAGAGACAAAGGAGAACAATCTGAGTAAATCACGTTTGCTTCAGGTTGCCTGTTAGCTTGAGACACGGATCTGGTAAAGTACAGATGGACTTTATAAGAGGATGGTGGAGATGAAATTGGCCATCGAGACAGTGCGAAAATGTGGAGTGCAGAATAAGAAAATAAAGGAAAGCTGGTAGGAGAGGTGATAATGAGAAGGGAGAGGAGGCAAGGGAAGTGTATTCTTCTCCAAACCCTGAAGGAGGGCCAGAGAAGGGGAGTAAATAAGAAGAGAAGAGAAAAATTGACAAGATCAAAAGATCTTGTGCTTTGGCTGGGTGTGGGAGAAAGAAGGCATGTGGATGAGTATGTGTGGGAGTGCGGGGCGACTGACCAGTGGGTTACACTACAAAAGAAAAGCACCGTGGGGATCCGCTGATCTGAGCAGCAAATACAAAGGAGTGGTTGTGGTTCCAGCTAGGAGCAAGAGGAGATACTGAAGAGGAGAACCCGAGGAAAGTATGCATGGGAGCTGGTTGTGAGAAACCAGCTAAATTCAATCTGATTGACTTGTTTGAACACTTTTGAATCATGAGAGTGTATGCTATACTTACACATAGCTTTGTTTGTATCATCCCCCAGATTTGCTTGAATGAAGTGTTCACTGTATTTAGGCAGAGCAAGAGCCAGGCTGCAGAAAAAAAGATAATCACAGTCACATTGATGATAGGTTGCAAGCTTAGTCGTCATTAAAGCAATTGGAAACGGAAACTAAAGCAAGCAATGTTTTCTAAATTGCTCTGTGAAGTAGTTTTACATACTGAGTATTTGCATGAGATACAAGAGGATGTATTGAAACACAGAAAAAACAAAAGCTGATTAAGGTTTCCATGTTTCTCAGGAAGGCTTTGCTGCATGTTCAATAATAATAATCCCTTAAATGTGTTTCCCATCAACCAAGCCAAGCCTGCTATTAGAAACATGAGAGTGAGCCCTGTTGGCCTAAGTAGTGTCCTCCAGCATCTGGAGTGCTCTTAGGAGTTAGTGGCAGTGAGTTGTCCTAAGTGAAAGAGACAGATTAATAAACCATGAAGGCTGAATGCAAAATTGCTGAGCTGGTTTACCTGTAATCTGTTCCATTGACCGGTGCAAACGTGTATGTCCGGACTCCTCGATCTATGTACCTCTGGCAAAGGTAATACACACAGGAACTGGCATTTATAACTGCTATGTACTGTTAAGGTAAGTATCATTCAATGTGTTATTGTTTAAAATGTAAAAGGAAAAAAAGGGGCTATCCTTAAATATAGTTTAAAGTTATATTACGTTTTTCTTTCAATAATACAAATGACAAATAAAAACATTTATTTTTTAAATCTAGGTAGAATGTAAAAGACAGTTTTCAGCTCAATGAAAGCTGACACATAATCGGCAGTTCCTACACGTCTTATCTCTTAAAGGTGACCTATCATGCAAAATGCACTTTTGTACGTCTTTTATACATGAATATGTGTCCCCGGTGTTCAAGGGAACCCACCAAGTGTCAGAAAACACAACCCTCTTTATTTTCCTCCATACCCACATCTCTAAAAAAGGGGCTGCAACGGATCTGATACAGACTGATCCAGATTTGAACACTTTTATGTCGTCACAGAAGTTGCGCTACGGCTATTGGGCCAACTCCACCAATCAGGAGGAGACAGCCACGGACATTGCCGTTCGAAAGCGCTGGAGACGCTGTAGTACATATTTCAGGCCACCAGATGGTGCTGTTCTCACTGAATCCGAGTGTGAAAGGCAGTTTTAAATTGAGCGAAATGAGGAATGGCTAAAATGCATGATCTGTTTGGTATTTTGAAAAATGAAAAGTATAAATATGCCTTATATAGGTATGGTCCTACACTATATTATTCAAATATAGCATGATAGGTCCAGTATACTATACTATATGTACTGCTAAAAACAATTGCCAGGAATTTTTGCAGGAAAACAACTTTGATTATGTAGGAGCATGAAATACAAGTGGAACATATTGGGTTTGCATCTTTTAGAATTTTTTTATATAATCTGTGATGAAATATGATAATACATATTGAAACTAACTGCTGCTTCAATATGAATTACTTAAATAGTTCGTTTTGCAACAGTATATTTACGTTACAAAAAAGAAACCTTTTCCTTTGTACAATGATAGACACTTAGCACTCCTAATATATTGGTATTTCAGTTTGCCTACATAGTCAGTGAACATCTCTGCAGAGTATTCAGTTGCAAGGCACAGTCATGGCAAGCGACATCTACAAAAGTATCCAAACTAATTTAAAGTTCTCCCAAATGTTAAGCTTATTTGAGTATTTTTTCTTACCTCATCTTGAGTTTTTACCAGAGTGTTAATGGTACTTTCACCTGTCTCACCATCGATCATCATTTTTCTGATCTAGTTGGAGAGATGAAGAAACAGACAGTGTAAATGGACTGTGTTTCAAACGTCACTGGATCTGATTCAGTGAGTCTCCGCTGATTTAAAAACATTCTGTCTCATAACCGCAGGCTAATAAATTAGGAACACTGAGTAAATCACATGCAGGGGCTTGTCATGATAGCTTTATGAGGAGACATGAGACATCTGGCACCCGAATACCTGCCTGGATGTATATCCTCCTCTGAATATTTGCCTGAGTGTGTGTGTGTGTGTGTGTGTGTGTGTGTGTGTGTGTGTGTGTGTGTGTGTGTGTGTGTGTGTGTGTGTGTGTGTGTGTGTGTGTTTGTCAGGGGGATTTCAATATATCAGAACACTCCACCTCCACTTTGATGTCATTCTCCAGCTCAGCATCTAGGAAGTCCAGAGTAACAGGTTCCTGGAATTTAGGATTCTGAGAAAAAGGATGATATTTCAGTCTGAAGACTCCAATAATACTGCTCGCACGCACGCATGCACACACGCACGCACACACACACGCACACACGCACGCACAAACCTAATGACAGAATAAGAGGATTGATGTGAACAAAGCAGAAGAAACCTTTAGCCTTATCCTGCATTGCTTGAAACAAAGTTTATCATGTAATAACCCCCTTTCATATCACTCTATCGAAAGCCTGCTGAGTTGATAGAGTAAAATGTTATAAAGTTCAGACGACCGTATTACGATTGTTATTCAGAAATGGGTTATTGCTATGGCAATCAGCCATTGAGAGGAAAATACCCTGCATCTTAGAACTGGCATTGCATTGAATTACATCAAGTGTACTACAATTATTTTAGCCATACTGCTCTTTTATTTTCAATTCAAGAGTAATGCCAATCATATTCCTTAACATATGACTCCAATGAAATCCGTGGTATAAAAAACAAAGGGCGCCATATGGCAGTATTTTGACAACATATCTGTGGCACCAGACACAGCTGAATCAGATTTGATACAAAGTGACACTGGACCCTATTAATGTCTTGTCTTAAAAACCCAATACGACTGAGTGGCTTTATGGTGGTATAAAATGGTAGCAATAATCTAGTGCTTCTCTATAAAACAGCACTACATGGAATCTGATACGTGCCTCTCCTCCAAAGCGTTTGTTCACTCAAAAAAGAAAAAAAGTCTTTATTTTATGTTGACATGTGCAAGGATGCATTTCAACTTTGAAAGAAGTCAAAAATAATTAAGAGTAGACACTGAAGGTTAAAATAAAAAAGCATGCAATAAACAATAAAGCAAAAATACTCAATTAAATAAAAAACATGTGTTCATTTTCTTACATTTGATGCAGGATTAAATGAAATGAAGCAGCAAAGAAAAATGATGAAGAGGAAGCATCTCAGCATGAAAATGAGAAAAGTAAGAATAAAAGATCAAGAGGTACAACACTGAATGAAACATCAAACATACACAACAACGAAAAAACAGGAGAGCATATGAAGAGAGGAAACATGGGAACACTGGTGGTGGGAACAGCAAAGGAAAGAGATCAAATGCAAAAAAAGAAGTCAGAAAAGAAGAGCACAAGAGAGAATACTGTATGTCAGCAGATGATTTGTAAAGGTGAGCTTGGATGTCAGATTAAAATAATGCTTCTGCAACTGGGGTGATTTGTGCAATGAATATGAACTATGTACAAACATAATTAAAGAAAGGGAACAGGTCAAGGGAAATGTTGACAGGGCTGAAGGTCAGCATTACTATTCACCTGATGTCCCATTGAGATCCCATCCCATGATTGATTCAATGAGACAGTGTGTGATTGACAGGCCCTACACACATACACACTGTACTAACGGTTGATGGGGGGGATAATAAGCATGCCGTCTAGCTTGAATACACAATGTCAGTGATATGTGCAACAAACAAAGACCATATGTATAAAGTGGACGTAGCCACCATAACGTCTAGAACTGGCTTTTGGAATGGTGTTTTCTAAGCCTCGAGGGTGGCATTTTTGCCGTGGCCATCTTGTTTTTTTGGAAACAGAAGTGACACAAGAGGTTGGGGCGAAGGACAACCAAACTGTATCCAAGAAATTGGAAAAAATAAAAAATGTGTACCATTAACTTTCATGAAGTGTGAAAGGGTAAATGTTCTAACAAATTGTGGTATCAACCTGTCAATCTCAAGGGGCCATGCCTTAAAAAATACTTTGCTTTATTGTGAAACTAACTCTAAATCGGACAATACTTTACAAATAAACATGCTGTATTTATAAAGACATACAACTAGCTAATGGGATTATAAACTCATATTCATTATAATGAGTTAACCTAAACTTCTATGCAATCTGTTTTATTTTTGCAGCCAGTTCACTCGCCCCCTGCAGGACACTAGAAAATATTCAAGTTTAAGGCACATTCATATCAGCTTCACTCTAATGATTCCAAGGTTATCGCTTGACTAACAAGCTTGATCTCAATACAACCTTGTTCTCTTCCCACTGTACTTTCTTTAGTTCCCACATATGCAAGCTGCACTTCTAAAACCAAAGTGTAACAACAAATGTTTAAATGGAAAATTGATAGGAAAGCAGAAGAAGCCAACAACATCTCAAGGACTATATGACTGCTGCTATATCTACTACAGTAGAGAACACTGCTACCTGAAGGAGCTACCTCTGCTATCTTCACTACTTCTACTTTATCTCACCTCGTGAAAAGTGACAGCATATTTATTAGCGACCCTGAGCTTCCTGTTTCGAATCCTTTTCTAGGAAAGTTATGAAAAGATGCACAATGATACATTTTGGTTTTCAAAAATGTCTCTGTGTGGGGGCTTGGGGTTCCAAAGTTCCTCAGAAAGACAACTTTTCAATTACATACAAACACTTCCAGCTGCGATTCAGTCACCATTTTTAAGGAGTATTGACACACACACACACACACACACACACACACACACACACACACACACACACACGCACACACACACACACACAGAAGAGGAGGGAAATCTCCTTTGTTCAAAGAAGGGGGAGAGAGATAGGTCATCATGGCCCCACAAACTGAACTCCCATGCAGCACATGGCCGCTGTGCAGCCTGTCAGAACCCGCTTGCCCCGGGCTGAAGGTAGTGGGTTTCAACCTCTTGTGGGGTCGTGGCTAATTATCACCAGGTTGCATCGTAATACCTGCCATTGGCTACACAAAATCCTGCTTCCTTTAAGTCAGACAAAACAAATTTTATATGATACCACACGCAGTTTTGCTGGATTTGCTGGATCTTTCACTTTGAGCCTAATTATAAACATAGTTTAAGTTGTTGCGAAATCAAACATACTTGAATTGGCTAAAAGTAAGCTTGTACAATAGAAGCTGCCATAAGACAATATGTTCCTCTTTTCCTTCATATAAACAGTAATCTACATACAAAACGCAAACACCATTAGCATGATATATTCCTATGGATAAAACATTTAATTTTATTATGGGATGTACTACTTTCACTTTCAAACACATTATCTCTACTTTATGCCCCGCAGCTTCTTTTCATCCTTCATTTTTAAACATTTATGCCAGTTCCCTGCCAAGTCTACATATCTATTTTATCACACATGGTAATGAGTGACCTTCTAGCAAGAACTGATGATATCAAGTCATACTCTAACTGGAGAATTTGTTCTTTTTATGAAAATAATAAGGAGATGGCATATGAAACAGTCTGAAAGAACCAGCTCAGTCTGCTAGAAAGCATATTTCTTATTGAGCAGAAGCAGTGATTTTGTAATCATTAGGAATATTCAGAATATAATACTTTGTGTCAAGAGATAAAGAAATGTGTTGGGCCAGATGCCATACCTTTGGCTGGAGATTGGGGTGCAGCAGAACATATCCATTAGGATCAATGGCAAAGTAGTATCCATTTGGACCAATCTGAAGGAAAAAAAGAACATAGGAGTGGGGAATTAAAAATGTGTAGAGAAAGCCACATGATGCCTGTAGATAAAAGTTGTGAAAACAGCTGATAATAAGTGTTAAACATGTGTAAAATAGCTTTAGTGGTCATAAAGTACAAGATTATACCTTGCAACAATGGGTCTGTAATGAACAGCAAAAGGTTTTATTCTAGTAAGACTTTATATAGACTTTAGAAAAGAACAACACATCTAATGACATCACCTCACTCACACCAGAGAGAATTGTCACAAGACTTTTGGTTGGAAACATATTTTTGTCAGCGTGCGTGTGTGCACATGGATGTTACACTCACTGTGAAGCGTGGTGTGAGGTTCTTGATGTCACCCAGAGACACGTCAATCCCCATCACACCGAGGATCAACTGATTCTGGTGCTGATGATAACAAAATAAAACATTTATTCATCAAACCCTGCCACTGTTGTCTCCACTCATCATGTGTTCAAGTATATGTTTACTGCACCTCGACATTCCTGTCATCTTTGGTCTTTGTTTTATTGAAGACAGGTAGAGTTCCAGTGATGACCAGTCCCAGCTCCTGATGGAGAGTCAAGCAAATGCTTTTATCAACTCAGGAATATTATCACAGCAGGAGCATTATTTCTGTACAGTTAAATGAATTATAGCACACAAAGTGTATCATACCAGAGCATCAAGGTATACATTAGTCCACTGGACCTGTTTGGCCTGCTTGTCTGCCAGAACCATTGGTCTACCCAGCACGTCCAGATACTCCTACAATATACAATCACATTTTCCAAATTACTGCTTTAATGATTTTCACATTCTTAATTCATGTGTAACATTATATATATATATCATGCTCCAACCTGTGTGTTTATTCTGATGGCTCCAATCGAAGGAATTTCATAAAAGTAACCTAAATAAATGTAAGACACATTAACCAAAGGTTAAAGTCACAATGTCAGGGGAGGTTAGATTCAAGAAAAATATGTTATTTATGAGATGATTGATAAGATAATTTACTGTGTCACATTTACAACCATTTACCCCCTTCTAAAACTCACATTAGTTTATTATCACTGCCCCACCCTTCTTGTATGTTTAGTATCTTTTCATACCACCCTTGTACCAGGTTAAAATCACAGTAATGACTACCAAGTTCTAGTCTAGTTTTGAGTGAAACTTGATTTAATACCAGGATGTATGTTATGAACTGTACTGTACCTTTGTTGGAACAGGCCATCCACTGAATGGGTCCTTTATCATAGTTGTGTTGTCCTACTGAGAAGGTGAAGATCCTCACCTGGAGCACAAGATTCAATTCAACAATATATAACATGATGTAACCTTTCACATGAGAAACAGTTCTTTTTCAATTTGGTAGGTACATTCCAGCAATGTCTATTATTATTTATTATTCAGTTTAGGTAAGAAAACGTTGTCTTTTCTGTAATAATGTTATGAAGAACTATGGTCACAAACAATTCATTTGAATGTCATTTATTATTTACATACATTTAGTTGGATAAATTAATATAGAAGACTATTTTTGAAGAAATAATCTTAACATGCAGTGGTGTATATTTCAACTACAACTACATTTACAAAAAAACATGAATGAGATACATTTTTAATCTAAGATGTATATGCTGTTACTGTATGACAGTGATGTTGAAGTGTGTGTTCAACCTGCTGATACATGCCCATCTGTGGGTGTCCATGTGTATGAGGGTGTGTGTGTGCGAGTAGTTCTTTGTTTCACAAAATATGCAAAACCGTCATTTGCCTTCTGCATACACTTTTAGTTTGGGAGGATATGCACAAGGAAGTTTGGACCTAAAGGGAAATCCAACAAGCTGAGCCAGATAAACACTACCACAGGCACACTTCCACATAGATAAAAGCTAAATATTCACACTGCAGTATCAAACGCCCCAGTCTGTGTGTGTATGTGTGTGTGTGTGTGTGTGTGTGTGTGTGTGTGTGTGTGTGTGTGTGTGTGTGTGTTTCTCCGTGCTTCATCAACTTACCTTTTTGTCAGCATTGTACTTCTCCAGTATTGCCGAAGCTCTTTCCTCTCCTCCGTCAGTAAACAGCATAATGATCTTGTTGCAGTTTGCTCTGCTCACATTCGTCTAGTCAAACGAAAAATATTGCAACAGTTCTTTG